TATATAATAACATATATTATATATAATATAATAATATATATATATATATATATATATATATATAGTAACATAATTGTAAATAATTGCAATCTAAAATAGAATGCGGCAACTCGTAATATAGATGTGACAATTTGGCTATATGTATGTGTTTATGTACATGCATATACACATCTTCAGATGCATATGTATCTGCATGCATTAATTCCAACCAGTATTCACAACTAAACTACAATAATTGATATATTTCTATGAACCACATCATACCTTCTCAACAGTGCTCTGATCGAGACACTGTATACTGATACCCACTCCGCCCGATCGCGGATAGTAAAATGGCACACAGCCGCACACCTTACAGAATGTATGTTTTGCAATGTGTGTGTTGTACGTGTATATGCTAAGACTGTCCTCTCCTTGTATTATCTTGAACTTATCAGGCTCAACTGTGAAGCATTGTATACCCTTTTTAGTACAAATTGAGCAGTTACACCTCCATACTTCTATAGTATCCTCTCCTAAAACAGTGTATTTTACGGTCTCACAGTGACAGGATCCTTTGTGCGAAACGGCCATAGTGCTTCGAATTCTTTTGTCGTTAATGAGACCCAACGTTTACTACGCTTGACCACCTGTTTTCTAAGTAACGATCACATCTATACAATACTATTTACATATACTCGCATACCATATCAAATACACCATACAGTATTTTATGATTTTTAGTAAATGTGGCGTGGAGGCGGTGGAGCCGTTTCTTTTTTTAGGGGGGTCGGGGGGGGGAGGGTACCACTCGGGTGTAAGAATATTATTGGCTCATAGAGCTGTAGCGGCTTTTTTATTTCTATATCTTGCTCATCTCATAGGCTGTCATCACACCAGTGCCCGGCCCCAGGGCCCAGGCCGGCCCAGGGCCCGTGGGGCAGTGTCATCATTTGGCATATCATAGAGTTCTTACTGTAGTCTTGTTCAATTTAGGAGGCTATGAGTCAGTAGACATCTAGACATGCACTATTACAGGAAGCCACCAATGGGACACTCAGCCTCTCCGGACTCGGGTCACAGGGCTAAGCTCACAGTCACAACTCACAACTCACAACTCACACATCCGCCCAGCATATATCAATTCAAAATTGATTTCTCTCTCTAGTAGCGAGTCTCCTTTGTTGTGCGGAATACATCCGCTCTGCAAGTGATTGGTCTCATAAATACCCACCGAAACGTAGGATTTACGGGTCAGGATTCTTTCACCAGCCTCTATAGGCGACATAATGCGTGCAATCATATACCTATGTCTGGCGTTGCTATTGGTAGTCATCCAGTTGCTCTACGGCCCTACCACGTTCTTCGACTATACGCCTAGCACATCTTATGAAATCAACAATGAATACACACCCGATTGTTGTGTTCGGTCGTGGAGAAATAAAACACATCAAAAGCATCTACGTATCACAATAGATCGAGAGAACAATGTCGTTATCCCGAGGGATGCATCCGAGGATTGCCTTGTGGCTCAAGCGGATATGCATATTATATGCTTGCAGCCCAGTGTATCATTCGACTTGGGCTATGATCGGGGGCGGACGAGTGAAAGTGGGACTTTCATTATGTTCAATATAAAAACTTTCCAAGGCAAAACATCAAGGTGGGTGGAGAAGTGGTATTATCTCATATTGAGACTCGATAAAATGCTGTCATATGCTCCAGTAAAATTTTCTATAGCCTTTGAACAACATATTTTTGAACGCTCATGGCTTAGGTACATTCTGTATATCTGTTCACGTTTATCGGCCTGCTGGTTAAATAATGTATGTATTGTACGGATAACATATGTGCATAAACATGACGAACACAGGTATAACGTTGTATGTGTGGATTAAATAAGACTATACACACACAACACACAAACGCAGAGAGACGCCACAAACACAAATATATATATATATATATATTTGTTAATATGTATATATATATATATATGTGTGTGTGTATGTATGTATATATTTATTTCTGTACTTCCATATTTCTATATATATC